ATTATACAACACACCTAGGAGTAGCAGGAACACATGCAATGAAGATCAAACTTCATAAGAAATATGGATAAAAAATATCGAGAAAATTGCACCCTGCATAGAAGAAAAGGAGCAAAGGCAATATAACAAAAGCATTCTAATTCATCTTGGAGCACCAGAGCAATTACAAGTATTATCTCTAGAAATTTCCATGATTCCACTAACATGTAAAGATAGCTTTGTGGACACCCTGGTCCATTTATTTTACATTTTTATTGAGTTCCTTCTAAACCAAAAGGCACCAACTTTTGCTTTATTCCGTTTTTCTTTTTCCAGCTTATCGCTATCTAAAATCTATCCATTCATTTCATAAAACTAAATAGATAAAACACAACAATAGAAATAAAGAACTTACAGTTCCTAACACATCACTCACGTCAACCGATGCAAATTCACATGAGAGTGAAGGAAAGCTACAATTAAAAAGAAAATCTGTCAGTCAAGTTCAACTAGATAAATACAAGCTTAACAAATATTTATGTAAAATCAAGAAAAAGCATCGGGAAAGCATTACAGCATCATTAGAGGCAATGTAGAAAAAATAAGCCACAAACCTAGAAACTCTGAAGAGGGGGAAAACTAGATTTGACAAATGAAACTAGATTTAAAACTATTGATCATGTTCAAAATTAAACACATGAGGAGCAATACAAAACCGGAGCTCTTTGATGAAACAAAAACAAAAGAAGCTGAAAAGAAAAAAATTGCCAATTGAACAGCAAATGCAGCCTAACATCATAAATCCTGAGAAAATCCCCAAAACTAACACTAAAACAAGAAACCTAAGCCTAGGCATCTCCTTGTTAATACTTTTACTCTTGACACTGTAATCACTAATAAAACAAAAAAAAAAAAACGTCATCAACATAGGTCAAGGGAATTGATACTAGAGATCTCAAGCTCAACTGGCATGAGTATGGCCCTCCCCAAAAAGGTCTCAAGTTCGAACCTCTCCTTTCCAAAAAATGAAATTGAAACTATTCCCTGCATAACCACAACAACAAACCTCATCCTTTTGACCCTACCCTGCACCTGAATTGGCACAAATCCCGCAATGCAACCACTTGTATGCATATAAACAAAAGAGAAAATAATACACTTCTTGATAAGGCAAGATTTTTTTTTTCCCTACCTGATATTGAAATCGATACGTAAGAACTCCCCGTCAGAACTGTTGTCAACAATTACAGATGTAGAAGTGTTGACAGTTAAATAACTATTAAGTTCCTGCACATCAAAATCATCATTTAAACGCAGCAATCTGCGTATTTACTCCTTAAAAAGTAGAGGAGAAGCTGCCTACCATTCCAAACAAAAACATCATAGCTAGAGCAGCTACTATCGATAATCCTGCACCTGATAACGATGCCTCTGTCAAATCTCTAGGAATTTTCCTGAAAAAATTCACGCATACATTTGCTAAAAAAATTAACAAGTCTCCTTAGCTAATTAATGAAGATTAAAATGGATATAACAGGTGTCTAACGCTTCGAGATTCATGTTATAATGCTAAGTCTTTAAGAGTATCTGAAGAAATATCGATCGATCGAACCTGTAAAAATCGACGGATTTGAGCTTGTTCGTCGAAACCATGGCCGCTGATTTCAATCACTGGCAGACAAATCGAGAAGACTAGGGGGGAATTAGCACTCAAATCACGCATAACAGCTAGATCTGTTTTTTTCTTGTATTTATTGGCAACCGAATTGCGAATGGACTCGCATTTGCTTATATATGGAAAGAAACACTGTCAGGACTCCTGTTTCCCATAAAAATTTCCCCAGCACCTAGCCTCTGACTTTTTTCTTTTTTTTTTCAAACTGCGGGTGGCTGGGTGCGGTTACAGTGGGAGCCTGATTAGATATATTAAAATAATATTTTTTTAAAAAAAAAAAATTTATATTTAATACTAGTAAATTAAAATAATAAAATAATTAATTTTTTCACAAATTATATTTCAAAACACAATGACAAACATGCTGTAAACTATTTCTGTATATGATGGGTGGTGGAGGGTGGAATGGTGACGTGTAGACTAAAATTGAAAGAAACTGTCCTCCTTTTTCCTTATTTATTTTGCCACGTGGCATGTACGTTCGACGCTGATGTTGATCACGTAGGCTGTAAAGTAGGGTGATCATTTTCGATTCGGTTCGGTTTTTATCAAAAAAAAAGTAACCAAACCAGAAAAAAAAATTGAAAAAAAACCCGAAACCGAACCGAAACCGGGTCAAACCGACCGGTTTCAG